GCGCTTTCTCGATTCGGGACGAACGGGGGATCCCGGCGATTTACCGGGGACATTTTAAAAAAGGTCTCAGGAAATCTGAAACTAAAAAAAAAAATTGCTGGTAATGTCTTGAAAGTGTCCTTCGATGCATCGAGGGAATTCCTCGAGGAAAGTGAGGATTCCGCGAGAAATCCCGAACGAAACTCGAGAATTCGAGTATCAGAAATTAAATTTCTAAGAGAAAAGACGCGATCCCATTTGAATCGCACACCGAGTTATAAATGCAGATACGCATCATAGAGAAAATCCAATAAGAGCCCCGCAGGAAGGCCGACGGAAGGCCAACGGAAGGCCGACGGAAGGCCGACAGAAGGAATCGTGCGAGCTCGATGGGATCCTTCGCGTTTCCGCTGATCGCTTTCTCCGTAATCGCGTGAAGATCGCACTAAGATGTTTAAGGGGCGAGATGAGGGTCCGGGATATAACGGGCCGCCGGGTCCCGAGAGGATTCCGGGGAGAGATCGTGGGAAGGTGATTCAAAGATCATGGGAAGGTGATTTTCTTCTTGGATTCTCGGAATTCCGCAGAATTTGGGCCGGTTTGCCCGAGTTTTTTTTTTGCGAATGGGTCGGGGGAATCCGGCCGACGGAACCCGGCCGACGAAATCCGGCCGACGTCGTCTGCTTCGATTTCGCCGATTTCTCGAGTCTCGACCGCGTCTGTCCCTCGGCGTTAAAAAGATCTCGAGGCCTGAAGAGCGAAATCGGAGAATTTTCGGGGGGAAGAGGAAAGGGCCGAGAGAGATTTATATGGCTTTTGGACGAGCGGAGCAAAAAATATATGAAATTTAATAAGAGAAAATTCCACCACATTTGTCTGTGATGAAAGGTCCCTGAACGCCCTTGGCGCGAATAAGTTCGTCGAGGCGAACAAAGAGACTCGAGGATCGCATGAGGATCGCATGAGGATCGCATGAGGATTCTTCAGATGTTATGTGACGCTGGTTGAAAGGCGGGCTGCGAAAGTGATGAATGGGGTAAAAGAACTTTTTACACGTTTCGAAGCGATTCTACCCGAGTTAATGAAGAGGGGTCTCATTTAACATCATTAGGGGCGGATAGATAAAGGGATAGATAAAGGATAGATAAAGGAAAAGGCGGTTGGATTTTCCGACGGCTGCAGGGAAAGGAAACGGATTGAGTAGAACTCGAGCGAGATCCGAAATGACTTCGTTCAGGTGGGAAAAAAATAAAAGGAGGAAGGAATTCGTTCATGAGAAATGGCTATCTTTATGAGGGGGAGAGGTCTATCTAGTTCTGGATGAACGCAGGAAGTTGGAATGAGGAAATATGCCACTTTACGATCCGAACCTTGAACTTTGAAGTATAATAATCGTACGTATATTTCGTAATTTCGCAATTTCGTAAGGCGTGTGTCATATTCCCAGAGTGAAGCAAATGCATCATCGCATTTTGTCTCAATCCGGGGAATAAAGCCGCAGTAATTCATCGAATGTTGCAGGAGTATCTTGAAAAAGTTCCTTGTTATGCTCCAATGATTTTGGATGACCTTCAAGGTCTTTAGCAAGTAGATCCACCTCAACCTCAACCATTCACCCATGGGATGGCTGAACCAATCATTATTTCCAATGTCATTTCTACTGGCTGGAAGCCATGAAAACTATTCAAGATTCTTGGAGACAAGACAACTTGTCAAGACACTTCTTGCAATATTTGATGGAACGCTGCAGCTGTATTCCCCGGATTGAGACAAAATGTGATGACATTGCTTCACTCTGGGAATATGACAGACGCCTTACGAAATTGCCAGCCAAACTCACATGCAAGATGATAGTTAGATGAGGACTGACACGACACTGCCCAACAGTCTAATCTATCAGTTCATGGAATTAAAAATAATTTTTGTGATATTGACAGTCTCAAAAAAATCAATCCTGGAACTTGATTGTCAGACGTCGTATCTCCCTGATGGAGATGACGCTAGGCCTATGGAGCGCAAGGTGGAACAAATTCGTTTGCAAATCGCTGCATAGGACATTTCATCGGGTGCGGGCCGTGCATATTCGATTTCATGCTTGGAGGCAATGATTTACGCAGATCCCAAGAAGTTAAATAATCCGCTGAATCATCAATATCCCGATAAAATTCCATATCATCCTTCCATATCATTCCATATCATCCTTCAAGCACGAATATTTACCGTAATCACATAAACAAGAAACAGGAAGGCAACTCACGGATCCAGTAAGGGCTCCCCCCAATGAAGAGGCGAGAGTCGAATATGAGCTTCCGGGCCTTCTCGACGGGCGGGAGGTACTCTCGCTCGGGCTCCTTCCCGTCGATGGACACGGACAGGACGTTTTTCATCCCGTTCAAGTTGAGTTCCAGGGTGTGCCATTGATCGTCGGCCAGTGCGGCGCCGACTACCTTCCCGTTGACCTCGACGTCTCCCAGTTTCAAGGTCAAGGTCAATTCACCGCCGTTTTTGAAGGCGAGCGCCAGGAGTAGTCCCTTCCCCCTCGTGTAGAACAGCATGGAGTCCTTCACCGACGTCTATCCACGGAGCAAAGGAATTCACCGATCGCAAGTAGACATTGCAGCTCTTTCGTAGGCCTATCGTGGACTAGTCTTAATGACTGGCATTCGTTCATTATTCATGCTTTCATTGGCTACTGCAGGCTATTCGTAATATCAGGGTATCCTATTTAACGCGAGGCATTCCAAAATTTTCCCAGTAGCTTCCAAGTTACACGGGAGACAGTGGTGCACAATGAACTCGTACCGCCTTTAACATTGGGCAACGTTACTTTTATGGTGCATGATAGGCGAGGTGATATCTTCTATGAAAGGAGAGACTTGAAGTATTTGGATGCCATGCTGAAGGTTTTACGAATCAATTAGAAAATTACTATAACCGCGAAGTGAAAATCCAAGAAAAGTGCATTCCCGATATACAGATTACTACATATTTTTTTGTAGTCATAGATACTTCTGTTCCTCAAGCCTGTATCACTTGAAACGGTCATTACGGGGTGCGACTTCGAATCAGACCTTGAACTCAAGGGTGAGCCGCGACGCCGTCATGGGCTCCAGGTTGACGGACAGGTAGGAGTCGCCCCGGAATCTCAGCGTCGTCGTCCCTGTCGGAAGAAATATCTGGCTTCATCTCGTGCAAAAAGGGCTTTCCTATTCTAGGCTTTTCTGCTGCGCCAACAGTAACCTCGCAAAAAAGCCTAGAAAAGGAAACTTACTATGGGGGCATATTAGTCCAAAATATACAACTATACGCAAGTATATGCTGCCATATATCTTCGTCATCGCGCCGGAAGTGATTTGAAATGAGCATAAGGATATAAGCACTTTAATGACGTCACTTCCGGTATGTCTGACCCCCCCCCCCCCTCCCCTCGCCCTATATCGCGATTCCGGTGATGAGTATCCTCTCAAGAATTTATGTTTCGGATGTTATTCCGATCTTTCAGAGTATCCGTTGGGATTGCATGCCCCACGGAAGAGATTTCGACCGGCTTGAAGACTCGCTCTTGCGCCAGTCACTCGAGCATACAGGATTATATTGATGGTGCTTATCTCGTGCAAACGACTTTATCGTGTCTTTGCCCGGCAGACCGCCGTTGGCAAACTCGGTCTTTTCATGTCCAGGGCCGATAGAAAGGAATACGATGAGCCAGACGAAACCAATAAAAAGTCATTCAAATTTGCAGCTATTTACTGCATTGTACAGCTCCCGAGGTATTGTTCTTGGCCGTTCGCTGACTCTATTATGGAGAATCGCAATGTCCATCGTAATGACAATCTGACGTCACCCTCACCCACATATTTCCAGATGTGCTTCATGGGGGATTGGTGAGTGGGGGTGGGGATGGGGATGGGTGGAGAGATTCCCCTCCTTGCGGATTCGAGCTCCCTTATTGGGATTTTTCACATGTAGACCAGCGCTTTACACAGATACATGTCATCCTAACATGAAGGATGAGAAAAGCCAGGCTTGTTTCCTCATCGTTGCTGTTGCGAACCCAATCACTGGGTTCAAACGGCCTGATTGCCCGGTGGCACTCTCGACGGGAGAGTCAGATTATCTCAACGCTGCTTCTCCTATCTCTTTCCTCCCCGCACTCAACATGCTGAGGGGCGAGTAGGGCAGTGTGTACCCAACAACGGCTGGGTGAGTTGCCGGCTGGGATCGAAACCTGGCTTTGCGGGTGGCCCAGAGCGCTTTTTCGCTCCCCCTCGCCATCTGCTCCTTCCCACCCTCACATTCTGGTATTTTCACACGATCGGTAATAGAAGAATTGACTCGATGTGGTCAAAGCTGAGTGGAGACTTGTGCTGCAAAGCCCTACATACTTCTTCGCATTTGTTTGGAGAAGAGAATGTAGAGACAGAATTTTATACAGATTGCATTGGACTCACGTGCTAGTTCGCAGAACTTCCCCTCGTACGGCGAGTTTTTGCAGTCGCAACTGAACCGGCTATACTGATTCACACATTTCCCGCCGTGAAGACACTGTCTCTCCACATCTGGCTCCTGACACCTGCCGCGTTCGATACGTCAACAATAAAGCAACCCGAAGGAACAACAAAATGGAACAACAGAAACAAGGCTCGCATCCCGTGACCGACACGCGACCGACACGCTACCTGTCGATGCATCCGTTCGCGACGACTCCGTGCAGGGTGGTATCCGATATCACGAGGGGAGGCTGCTTCCCGTCCAGGACGACATCACCCAGGCACCCGATGAAATTGGAGGGTGGCAGTCGACTTCTCTTTACCCATTCCTCGCTCATCCCTACGGATTGAAATCCTTTTCATATGTTCTTCTGCTTATATCCGTCGTATTTCGTGCTAGCTCCTCAATGAGCGCTTTTACCAGGAAAATTCCAGACATTGGGCGACATGCACCAGATTCGCTTAACTTTAAACAGATTCGTTTTCATAATGGGCGTCTATGGAAATAAGTTTATCTCGGTTAAACTGATTCCCATAGGGGACCACTGTGAGATCAGATTAGTTTAGCTTAAACAGATTCAGTGCATGTCACCCATTAAATCATCATTGTGAGGCATAGTGATCTAGTTATACTGTAGCTTCAGAAACTGGATCGAATATCTTCCACAGTGGGACTCGATTAGGTTTTTTATCATCTCTCCTATGTCTCTGCTAGCCAATATCAAAGTCACCTTCACTGTGAACCTCAAGGGTGCACAGGGGATAATTTTAAATACACCTTTTTTTTTCTTTTTGGTTTCCTTGGCCCCCTCGAGAAGGAAATCTCTACGGACCTCCAGCTTACTCAATATCGTTTTTTCCCCACAATAAAAGAATTGGATCTCTAAGCCGAGAAGATAGGGAAAAAGATAGCTGACCCCCGAGGAAGAGGAAGGGTGTGTAGTGCTCGATCTTGGCATTCTCGAGCGAGGCGAGCATCCTCTCTCGAGATTGGAGGTCCACCGTCACTTCCAGCATCGGGGTCGAGCCCTTCAGCATCACGGTCACGCTCATATCGTGCCACTGGTCGTCACATAGACCTGCTCCCCCGTCAGATACCACCATTAAAACAAATCAAGTCTAGAAATATGTATAATTATATTAGTTTGCTAATAATTTTTTTAAATATCTAAAAGTCTCAGGAGGGAAGGGGGTATTTTTTCTCGCAGTCGAAAGGGGGTGATTTGATTGATTTTAGCCAGAGGTGGAAAGGAAACAATCAAATTCTGCCGGTGATGGAACTTTAATTTCTTCAGAGACTTCAAGTGGAAAATCATGAGGTGTTTTTAATATCGTATGCATTTCCCCCCTTCCCTCCTGAGACTTTTAGATATTTAAAAAAATTATTAGCAAACTAATATAATTATACATATTTCTAGACTTGATTTGTTTTAATGGTGGTATCTGACGGGGGAGCAGGTCATCGTATGCATTTCCCCCCCCCCCCTCCCCCATATGTAAATATGTAAATTGAGACTACTTTTTGGAATGACTCACCGCTGAACGGGAGCAAGATGGCTTCGGTGTGGTGAAGGAAGGAATGGACGACGGTGACGCCATTCATGTCCAAGTAGGCGTGGGACATATAAGCATAGGAATAGTCGAATTCTCCTTCTCCGTCGGGGAGGATTCCTGGCCCGTCAGTGAGGACGTGGGAGTAGAGTAGGCCTGAGCATTGCTGCGTCCGGAACCGGAAACTGAAGCTCAAAGGACCCCTAAACCCAAAAATGAGAACGTTCTCATTTACCAACGTTTTTTGCTTCGTAATATGTCGTATGGATTTTAAAATGCCCTTTTTCTGGGGGTCGTAGGCATTGGGAAACGGATTATTCAGCGTTGAATGTCCCATTCTGAACTAAAACTGAATAATTACTGATATACTGATATACTTAACACAATCACAGGAAAAGTTAGTATTGGATCCCTCGTGCTTTCAGATCATCAATACGGTGAAAATTTTTGAATATCTAGACATGAAAGCAAGACGCCCGAAAAAGCCTCTTCCTCAGAATGACATCATCCACAGTAATATATCGGTGACGTCTCGATTAATGGATGGAAGCAGCGAAAAATTGTCCACAAAAATGAAGTGCGAGGGGTCAACAATCCATCCCTCCAAGGCAGAGCATCGCTCACCTTTTCCCGAATTGCTTGTCGCCGAGGAGCGCGAAGGAATTGGGTTCGAAGAAGGTGAAGGTCCTCGCAGACTCGCCATCCGAGTCCGCCACCATGGATCCCGACGTGGGTCCCGTGTTCTTCAGGTTTTTCGCTGAAACACGAGGACGTCACCACTGAGCACCTCGGTTTATGAGTGTTGAAAGAAGTTCTGTGCGCCTTCGCTTTTAAAGTTATTTTATCGTTCCCGGTTCGTTTTTCTTTTCCAGTGCGGCCTGCGAGTTGCAAGGGCCCTCCCATAGAAAAATGGAGAAGACGGTCTCCAAAAAGCAGTAATAGTCTCATTATTAAATGAATGCAGCAGGTACGACCTTCTATTATATCTTCAACCCCCGAACGTAAATCACAGAATTCCGCCCTTTATTGAATGTACAGCTCTGGCTGAAGCCGATAAGCGCTTGAGCACCCTACACATGCGTTATGCGTGATTCATGCAGTTGCTCATCGCACGTATTGCGCAGCGACGTGTCGAAAGCACGCAAAAAGCAGCATTATCACCCATTTGATAGAAGTGGCAAACGCGCTGCCTATTGCGCATATTCCTCCTTGCTTCCTGCCCGCAATCTGTCGGAGCCTCAGAAAAAGGTTCTTCGTGGCATCGAGACTCGCTCGTTCCAAAACGCGCGGTCAACCGTGCGTGTTCGCCCCGACACTTCCCCCGTCGGATTCTAGCACGGGAAACTCCCGATTTCAAAACGGCAGTTCAGTCGAAGTTCGGTTCTTGTCCCAGTTCAGACTTTGGTCTGACTGAAGTTCCACTGTGATTTATTAGAAATAAATCCTAACTGGAGCTGAAAATGAAGTAAAAAAATGAACTGCACTGCTACTGGATTGCAGTTTTGAAATCAGCCAGGGTCACGTTTGAAGTCAGATTGATTGGTCTGGGCATTTTTAACAGAGAAAAAGATCATTTCGAATTTTAAATATATAAATTATTTCTACATTTAAAGTTAGATATCTAAAAATTATGCACGAAACCTTGAGATTTCCGAGAATCATTCATGAAAATTGACCTTAAATTGGAAAAATTCTTTCTAAGATGAAATTTCTTGTGAAATATTTTGCAAGCCACATTTAGTTTGCTTTAGTGGCAACTTCGAGTGAAGAGGCTCCAACAGGCACGGTCAAAATCTGTCAGGGCACGAAGTAATTGCCAGCAAGACACGGTAATTTGGGTCAATCAGATAAAAACTGACGTCACAGGAACAGATCGCACTGAAAGCAAAAGTTCCATGACAATCGCCATCGTGGCCAGCTATAGGGAATATGAACATCGGGTAACAATTACATGGAACGTTACACAGAGCCTATACGTTAAAATATAGTACTATGCTGGTACCAGGCAGCACTATCGACCTACCACGCAGTAGTCGGATGCTTCTTGAACTGCGTGACCTGAAATGATAAGTCTCATGAGGTAAATGAAGTAAACGTAAACGGCAGATGCTCAAACTGTGGAATCAGCAGCTTCTCCTTACCTATTCCACGCAATAACAAAACGTTGCTTACTATTTCTGAAAGAAGCACAATAGTTCATTGTTTCATGAAATTGGCAAAACCTTGCGAAATGCGAGTAGCGAGCAATTACACGAATCACGCATAACTTAAGCACTACTGCCAAAAAAAAGTCAAATGCGATAAATCAGAAGCAATCAAGAGAGATGTCCTCATGAGGTCATGCGCTACTATGACAGACGATAGTTGGTGCCTCTGTATGGGTACTACATGCAGACAATATTTGAGCTTGGCTTCAATTTTTTGTGCCAATCGGGAAATCAATCGTGAAACCATGAGAATGGCGTTGGCATCTCTGATTGGTCAAGAATTTGGTTTTCCGGTTTTTGGATGAGGTGAAAACTCGTTTTCACAAAGAAGTCTGGTCTGGGGTCAGACTTCTTTGATGCAACTGAAATGCATCAAGTTGATGCACTATAAATGTTTAGTGCACTCTCAGAGGTGTCTTTATTGACACATGTTCTGTGAGAGATGACGAGAAATCTCTCTTGATAGCATCAGATTTTTCGTACTCGACAATTTCTTCAACAGCAGTGATTCGACCAGATTGAGACAGTCCGATACCTCCACCACACTTCTGGAAGCATTCCTGGAGGGTGGCGAAGTTGTTGGCGTTCCCCCCGCAGCCGCCGTAGATGAACGTCTTGCACTGGGCGACCCGCGCGTCGTAGAAGTATCGCTTTAAGTACGCCCGACATGGTCCCACATCCGGTGGCAGACTACAGGGGTTCTCTCTTCCTTCAGCCGAGAAATCAAAGGGGGGAGGGGCCTCAATACAAATAGGAGACATGGAGCGGTGGAAGTGTGTTAATGAGAGGAAGAGAGTCGAAGAATAAGGTATTTTCAAAAGTGCTTCAAAGTATGAAGGTGCGTGAAATTAATCGGGAGTGATAGATAAGCACGAAAAATGAGGCGGTTGGAGAGAGGACCGACTTATATTATGAGGGCTATTATTCATAGAAATACTATGCCTTTTCGTTTGATCATAGTTTCACTTGTACGCCGTAGATGCAGATCGAATTGACTTGATTTAATATTTAACAACTGGTGTCAATCGTGTCGTCGGGTATGTATGAAGATGCATGACCAAAACCCCATAACTTTGTTTCAAACTGCTGCTAGTATATCTAACGGGAATGCTATTGTTTCAAGTTTAAAAGGGGGAGGAGACGGATATCAACAATGTTAGAACTTCAAACTGCATTGACTGACAGTATTGGGTTGTACTGTGCACAATCCTAGAAACCAGGCATTGTGGCACAGAAATCAGCAGCAGCCACACAATCCAATGGTTTGAAAGCGTACGTCAAGGAGGGGGGAATCCAGTAAAAAGTCATTTCGCCTTATCTCGACATTCAGTAAGATTCGGAACGATTAAAGGAAAAATCTATCGGGGTCCACAAGGTCGAAATAAGGGGAGTATGGCTCCCTTTTCTTCTGGTGCGAATCTTATCCCTCCGCTGGAGCCTCGAGGAAGTATCGACGAGATTCTATCGGGGATACATTTCGTATCAGATGAGGGCTCTGGGCCTGGCGCCGCATCACACGGCCATCCCATGTAGATTCAGACTGAGATTCATGCAAACCTTTTCGCGTTGCATGATTTTTTTCTCTCGAGTGGTTGCATGCGTGAAAGGCATACCGAGCATGAAACATTTCTATTTCCTGCCTCTATCCGACCCAGGGTGATAGGCTAAATTTAAATAGCAAATGCTGCTTCGGTAACTCAATCCGAAATAAACGGAAAAGGTGATTATGATCTCGGTGATGCTACATCGCATTTTCCACGTCTTTGCACATTCCAAGACGTTAATTGCTCTCTATTTCGCCATCTTCTCCTAGGAATACGTTTTTCCCTCAACGAATGTCTGTTAAACAACTTCTACACTGCAAACCTCCGGAAGTTCCTACATAATATTAACACTTCCCATTAACACTTTCTTGAGTACTCTGAATGCGCTATCAGGGGTTTCAGGTTGAATTTATTTATTTCTGCACATAATAGTTAAGCCTTATCTAGGATAAAGTACCCTTACTCCCGCATAAATTATTCAGGATTCGTTTCTTGCACACTGGCAAATAATCTCTGTATTCATAGATATAGGTCCAACTTTAGGTAGCCATTTCTTCGCATCCAGCCTTTTCCTTTAATAATCGAAAAAAAAATTACTTCGAGACGTCATGAATGCCAGAACAGTCCGGCTCGACGGGCCGACCCTATTCCCAACGTAGACAAGTTTTCGAGACAGGTTTCCTCTCTGAGACAGGTTTCAAGGGTATGTGCTGTTTCGACTGAGGTGCAGCTGGGACTAGGCTGGTCTCAAGAGAAACTGAAACTAGTTGCAGCACGTGATTCCACTGAATCGTTGCCTTTCGGATCGTATCTTGCCTCATCGATGTAGATCAGTTGGAGAATTTTGGGAAGAAGAGGTGCTGTAATAGCACTTTGAGGGCCGAGGGAATTTATATTTGCTCTTTCATTGGTGCTCTCTTCGAACGCTACAGATAGTGATTCAAGATAGTGTGTGTGTGCAAGAATCATGTTCATGCCACTGCGACTCGGATGCCTTGTCGCGGTTCTAGGCTTGGGTTTTCTCATTCCTTCTTTTTCTTTGCCGCGAGAAAATGTGCGACATTATTGCGGAATGATATATCTTTTCCGGCGATAACATGGACATGTTGAAAAGGAACCCAGCGTTCATCGTCCTTGCGTGTCTCACCACCGAGACGAGTTAGCACGGCGACGAAAGGCACATATTTACACTTTCGAGGCACTCGAGACGCTGAAGACGAAATGGGTTTATCGGGCTTATCAGCTGGCTTCCTCCTTCCTCAGTCCCTGGGAAATGGGCCAAGAATGCCTATCAGGATCTATTCGTGAGGCCGTGATGAAATTGAATTTATTGCTTATTTTCGGGGAGGGGGGGGGGTTGAGAGGGGGTTGAGGGGGAGGGGCTAAATGTTCCAATAAAAATCTGAATCTAATCTAAATCCAGCCTAATACGCATTAGGTGTCCTTAGCAAGTGCTGCGTGTTACATATTAATACAATCTAAAATCAGTCTGAAAAGAGTCGATTCATCGACGTCGATATCACATTTAAAATTTAGACTTTGCTTAAATTCTGATTAGATATTGGCGAGATTTTCGACTATTGGCGAGGTACATGAAACAAACAAAAAGCGAATGGAATCCGGGTCTTTCCATAAGACCAACCCTGCCTAGGTCCCGAAAAAAAAACTCAGTCGTCTTTCCAAAGAGAAGAAAGAGAGAAAGCGAGAGAGAGAGAGAGAGAGAGAGAGAAGAAGACACTGACGGGTACATGTTCGGAGACAAGAGATCTCGTTGCGGAAATTGTTGGCGTTCCCGGCGCAGCCTCCGTAGGCGAAATAGGCACAGATCCCCAAGGTCTCGTCGTAATAGAAACGGGGCAGGGACGCCGTGCAGGGACCGCGGTCCGGGGCCAGCCCGCAAAAATCTACGTCCCCAGAATCCACATGGGTTTTAAACACGTCATCACGGGAAAGTAGGACACAGACGAGGAAAAAAGAGACGGGAAAGGAACAGATCTGAGAAGAAAATTTCACGGCGTACGACAGAAAAGTCCATCCACCGAGAGGCCCAGCCAGTGCATCGCAGTAATCAATCGTTAAATAAATTCACAGGTTTCATACGTATGCATATACATAAATATAAACATGAATAAATATATTTATATATATGCATCCGTACAATTTGGTAGGAATCACGGAAACAGACCTCTCTTTCCCGGAAACACGCTGGAACGTGATAGGGCGACGTGAAGGAAGAAGAGGACGAGGAAGCACCAGAGTCTCAGTCCGACGTGCCGAATGATCATTTTGCAGTGGATTTGTTCACGCCTCGCGCACGAGGGTAGGGGGTTCCGTCGGTGCACTTCGTCGGCACACGTGCGAACGCTCGCTCGCGAATCTCGCTGCACCCGCGATGGCACGGTAATCACGGAATTCGTGAAATTTACGACCGAACTCCGGGAAAGCCAGGCGCTGACGTGAGGCAATATCACGAAGCATTCCGTGACACAGCTCATGCAGAGTTTTATCTTATCTCGTTGTGCGAGGGCGATGCAGATAGACGTGTGTACTCAGTCCCATGCAGGTCCCCGATTCCCATCCCCGATGCTTACCCCCCCAACCGGTCGGGTCGTCATTCATCGAGGCTTCGTGTATCTTCAGGCTTCAGTATTTATCATGATTCATTCGAAGGAGATTCATCGAGGCCCCTGCATCCGGATCCTCTGACGCATATTTCCGAAGCCGATGCAATCTTTGTGCACGGCGGATATTCATTGGTGAAAGTCCCTTCGTATTCCCACAGATGTCTTCCCTCACCCCGTTCATGATTTCAGCTTTCCAGAGAGAGCCCAACAACTAGCATCAGCTATTATAAAAATAAATAAATAAATAAATTACTGATAGAATGGCCATTAGCCGTTCATTAGCGAGGAATTCTTCCAGAAGCAGCGCTGGTGCTCCTAGTGGCCGAGACACTGCTGGCAAATCTGAGTGTCTTCTTTCTCCTTTTCATCTCTGATTAGAAGAGATGCATTTGGTTACAACTAATCTATCGATCGTTTCCTTCTCAGTTTCTGTCACAGAATTTGGTTCATTTTACAATGGAACATTATCAATCGGCCAATGACAAATTTACACCTTTTTTATTGCTACATAGCTTACATTATTTTTTTCATTCCTCTGTCTTCTTTCTCTCGGAAAGTCTATAGTCCTACACCAGGTTCGATTTTTCCTCCAGATAATCCTGTCCGATGACATTTCCCGCCATTTCATTTTTTTGATCGGACGCATGATATTTTTGCCTACTGACCCCAACGTCCAGCGCTTATGCCGATCGCGGAGCCTTGCGACAAAAGCGTTTGACGGTCCGTGTGACGGTCCATGTGACAGGAGTTCCCTACCCCTCCCCGTTCCCCCAAAAAAGTGCTTAAGCGGAAACCCTTTGACTTTTCAACCGTCACAATTACTAGCACTTTTCCGTACTTACGGACCCGAAACCAGAAAACAGTTATTCTGAGAAAAATTCTTGGCATCGATTCTTCATTCTCGGAATCCGATCGGCGACTTGTTTAATTTGGGCAATAAATATTCAAGCACGTCGTATGTGCTTATGCTAAATCTTGCTGCATTTTCATTTCGTTGCTGTCCTAAAGAAATGGAGAATTAATCATTTTTTACATCTTTCGGAGGCCAATCTGCCTAAATCCTGGAAGATTGAGGAATTGATTTCTTTTTTCTTTCTTTTTTTTTTTACCGGGGATTTTAGACTCTCCGCTTTCTACCGTGAAAGTCACTTTTATTCCTTCATGTTCCTTCTTCAATCCGGAAGCAAGATAGTATTCTTTTTTTAACCGTTCCCTCATGCTGTTGTCTATTCAAGAAGCACCCAGGGTTAAACGGGACAGAAAAGGAGGAAAAAAAATACAGACAGAAAACGAAAAGTCTATCGCCCGAGGGAAGCACACAACCCACTCCCACCCCTATTTCCGTCATTGTATTCTCTCCAATGCTGTCTGGATCCAGAAGACCCTGGTCCTTGTAGATCCCGCTTCGCAACCGACCGAGCCAGGCGTGCATTACCGGGTGACATGCAACTTTTAACTTTAAACCGATTCGTTTTCATGATGGGCGTCTATGGAAATAAGTTTATCTCTGTTATACTAATTCCCATAGGGTACCATTGTGAAATCAGATTAGTTTAGCTTAAACGGATCCGGTACATGTCACCCATCATCCGGGAAAGGCACCCACGCATCGCGACCCCGGGGGGAACCTCGATCGAGTTCCCCGACGAATCCGGGATGAAAACGCAGTTTGTCCTGATGATCTCAGACATGGAGACTGCTTAGACTTTTCCTTTAGACTTTAACCTCGCTTGATATCCCGTGCTTGGCATGCTTTCAGATAGAAAAACATTTGAGTCTTGCAGTAAAAATGCCGCCTCAGTGTCTCATTTGTGAAAATTCAATAATTAATTTTCGCTCTGTCGCGTATCTCTTTCTTTGTTGAAAGTCGGATCTCTCTGCCGAACCCTGTAGAATGACCCGCGTATTTTAAAAATGTACTTTTCAGTACTTTGAATATTGGAACAATCAGAAAGCAATTAACCCCAAACGGCATACCGAAAAAAATCTACGGGTAATTGAAATTTGAAATGGAAAATGAAGTTCTTGGAATTTTCAATCCCTGAGAAGCGCGCTGACCACTCGTACCCCTTGAGGGACAGCGGCCCACTCGCTGCGTGGGCCCCACCTGGTGGGGGAAACGGTCCGGTATCTTTAGGACCATCGAAGCGGGGAAAACGATCACGATCAGCCAATCCACGAAGTGAGTTCTCGACCTTTCAGGCTCATCTGAGAGAAATCCGGTGCCAGGTCGATCCAGGTCGATTTCAGCCGTGTTCGTTCGTTCGTCCGGTCGGGTCGAGTCCATGTCCCGATTGGAGCCACGTCCTTCGGGAATTCGTAACGAGACTGTTGATCTTCGAGGCCTCATCGACGATAAAAAATGATGATACGGAACTATGCAGACGCCAATAGTCACCTCTGCCTCAGGTTGCCTTGGGCATTGGTTCATTTAAGCTCTTTCAGTCATGGTCGATTGAGACTGGACCGAGCCGAAACTGGGATTTTCAAATACACATATCATTGTCGTGCTTGCAGCTCTGACCGCCGAGACATCTGGAACGAACCGTCTGGAACGAGAGATCCAACCCGTGGAAAGAGAATTTTTCTACGCAGGGTGGCTTAAAACCTTTGCCTGAGGCGACAAGACCGGCGAGAATCGGAAACCGCGTCTGCGCGATTTCAAAGGTGTTTCATCATGGTCTCTGTGATGGTCGACGACAGCTGAACCGCAAAATAAAAAAAATGTTGCGTTCTATCATTCCAGACAATCCATTCTCAATTTCTCGGTGCGAAAATGGCTCTGATCCCGATGCTCTATCCGTTCGTCGTCTCGGTCGACTCAAATTCAAGTGGGACGAATCGAGGGACCGCAGTCGAACCTCGACTCGACTGCGACTGAACACAAAGTCGCAATGAACCAATGACGGACACGGACGCGACGATGTCAGGCGGTGGGGTGAATGGGATGAAGCGAGAAAAAATTCGCGATATCCCGCCCGAGGGCTCAACAAAAAAGAGGCGAAGAAAACGGAAAAGCCAATGTCCCGAACCATCGACCGCATTCAGTGTGCCATTTCTTCATTTTTGCTCAGATGCTATCGTGCGAGGCAGGGACTCGCGAACGAATTCCTTCCCGCAATCAACAATGGGCGAGGAACGATAGGCTTCCCCCTTACCCCGAGGAAACCCAGCCCATCAGACGATCACGTGATCGAGGCGAGGCCACCGCAGCAAGTTTTCCCCGTGACGTCACGGGCCCCAAGGCGTTGACCCGTCGGAGGCCCCCTCCCCCGACGCCCGGTCTCATATCACCGCCTGACATCGTCGCGTCTTCATCCTTTTTTCCTCCGGTTTTCTTTCTCTTATTGTAATTAGTGGTTGTTAATTGCGGACTGTTTCCTTCTGTTCCCGGTTTTAATCCGTCGTTTCATCATGTGGTTGTCGAAGCCCAAGGACGCACTGGTGAGTCTCATCCGTACCTGATTTGCACGCGACTCGAGTTTTTTGGCACTCCGAAGAGCGATGCGTTGCGATATCGCAAGTTCAAACTTCATTATTTATTTTCTTCCCAGAATTTAATACCATCGACCGTGTTATGTACCGTTGGGGTTTGAAAAACGCAGCGATGTGCTTAAATCAAACCGACTGACGCAGTCGATTTCCGTGACGATGCGAATCTGTGACTCGACTTTTCGTCGATTTTGCATGCTGCAGACTGTTGCGTAGAACGGAAAAAGCGTTTATCCGAGCGTTGAAATCATTGGTGAAATGAAATTGCACGAGCATGCCTGAGGTGAAAGCATTCGAGGAAATGTTTCATGATTTTTTGGTCCTTTCTGATGTAAGCATTCTTATTCTGACGTTAGAAAATCATCCTTGCCCTAAATTTCTGCAACAATGGTCTCTGCCTCGAACAGCCTTTTCTGGTTTTGTCAATAAAGGCCTTTGGTTATTTTTTTTTCCGGAGTGAGCAAAGAGAGACGGAAATCCGGAAAATAGGGAATACGTTAATTTTGTTTTCGTGTTTCAAGAGAACACATTTTTATATATATTTTTGCATTACTCTAATAGGAGACGTTTTTACTTTGAATTTTAAAAATATAATTTGTATTTTAAAGTGATTTATGATGTAGATATTGTAATATCCATGGTATGAAAATGAAAATGAATTCTCTAAAGAAAAATCTGGAGTGTATTTTTCTACATTGCTCTCAGAATCCATAAACGTACAAATTTAAATTTTCTAACGTGTATATTTATATAAAGTTATTTTTGTATTTTGTCAAAGAAGGAAAAGTGAATGAAAACTTCTCCAGGACTCCTGCAAAACAATAGCCTTTGTTTGCTTGAATAGTCGGACAGCTGCTTTAATGGTGGCCTCTTTCTGCCCGTCCCAAATCTGGGTTTCCCTCTTCCGGATTTCCTTTTTCCGGATCTCCCTTTCCCGAGTTTTTTTTTGTTCCTGTTACTTTTCCTCCTCTTCCCCCCCCCCCCCCCCCCCCCCCCCCCCCCCCCCCCCCNCCCTTTTCATCCGTGTATTCTGTCGTTTCCCCCCCCCCCCCCCCCCCCCACCTCCCCCCTCATGTTGCGTCGTTAGGAGAACCTGAAGAGTGTATAAAACGAGTAGATTTGGTTGGCCTTTCTCATCTCGTATATATTTTTTGCATTCGGGGCCTCGGCTTTCAACAGAAGCGAATAAAACGTCCCCCAGAATTTATTACGACGATTCCAAACCCATCGTAGCCGTTGTTGGCGACTCGTTCCAGGACCTGCTTCGACCCGCGGAGGACCCCGGTCCCCAGCCCCGAATGCAGCGCTACGGCGAGGACCCCGAGGGCGGGGGCCTCAACTGGGAGACCCTGCTCCGGCCGAGGACGGATTCCCTCCTGGGCAGCGGGGGACTCGAGCTCAACAGCCTCAACGGGGACTATCTCCATCCCAGGACTCAGGGTTCGGGCATTTTGTACTCTCTCGGGAAAAAAAATATACAGGGTGTTCGAAAAGTCACTGTTCAGTGGAATTCATATATTTTGTTGCATGTATTTAGTATTGTACTGCGTATCACATGTTATTGCATCATCGAAGACATGAATTTCCACTCAATACTTCATCAAATATTAGCACCATCCCCGATTCACATAATTTATTGTCCTGTAATTCCTAGCAATAGTGAGGCCTCCTACGTCATGTGAATTCTACTGCACAGTGACTTTTCGAGCACCCTCTGACCCCTCTGGGGAAAGTTTTTCTTTTACTGTCTGCACGTGCTGATCCGAGTTTTTCTTTTCACTCCCTCAAAGGAATAAGAAAAAGTGCATGATTGCAACACTCGTACAAATGGGGTTGCGCTTTCAATATGCTATTCTTTACATTTAAAGCTATTTTCGTTCTAGATATATCAACTTAGTTTTAAAAAAAATAAAACAGGAATGTCAGTGGAAAGCTTCTTTCAACAATGGAGGTGTGGTAGCTCCATGCACTGGTGGACGCATAGGGACTTGTCGCACATTTAACGCGCTGCTTGCTTGCTTCGGGCCCATGCATGAGTGGGTGCACACGTGACACACTGGTCTTTCCAAAAAATTCTGTCTTCAGTTTCTGATAGGTAGTAGTCAGGGAATGAACTTTTTCTCACATTTTAGCATACTTAATGTACGAAACAGCATGATCTCAGAAGTGTTAGGGACCAGTTCATCTTCTGGGATACTTTCTTGTAATGTTGGTTTGTCTCCTGCACCAACTTTTCGCAGTTTTGATGTAAAAAGTTCAGAAATAAATATTGTTCTTGCAGTACAATTTGAGTCAAAGGATGATTCCACATCTTAAGAAAATCCCAGGAAACGAAGGTCATCATTTGAAGCATTATTCAAGTCAAAATCTAAGTCGGAATGTAGCAAATCTTCAATTACCTCTATCGATAGCTTGCGGCGAGTCATATTTACTAGACTGTAGTTGAATAGTTGATTAGAAGTTACCACAATACCCCACATGACTAGGATTTGAAATGTGACGTCAGCGCCTGGCAACGTGTCAGGACAGGTGCGGGATAGTAACGAGAAAACGCGAAACGAGATATCTCGTGCGTGGGTAAGAGCAAGGCCATGCGGGAACACGAGATATCTCGGGCGTGGACCGCAAAGGGTTAAGAACAGTTTTTTTTTTTGCGTTTCAGGCTTTGCTCAGAAGAACGACTTGAACGGTTCATTGCCTTCGGTTCTCGAGCGACAACTTGTACGTTGTCAAATTTAAAGATTTCATTTAGATTTGCATTCATGAATTCTTCGTTTTCGCCTAACGTTTATTTTTGTCCGAGACTGTTCTATTGAAGTTCTTTCATCTATTCGCTTTATGTAGTAATGTGGAAACCAATTTTCAAAGGTTTCCCCTTCAACCCCAACCTCACTTCCCCTCCCCCCTTCTCTATAGAACTCACTAACGTTAGGCCAAGGCTTACCTTTTTTCGTTCGAAATAAACTCAATCCACTCAAGTGGTGGCCACTTCCAATACCATTCACCCAGTGCCAGATTAAGGGGGGGGGGGGGGGGATGTCTGGCAGCACGCATTAACATCATATAGTTGCTCTTAAGATCTAATGTACACTTCTTCGTGTCATCTGCATCATCACCATCATAATTGTCATCATGATCATCACATGACTTGCATACTTTCCCCCCCCCCCTCTTATGAAAGAAAAATTTTCCGTCACTGCTTTCCACACTTCAGCGACCGACGACGATTTATATGCTGCCGGAGAAAATATTTTAAAAAAATTACTCCCGCATAATTGAATAGTAAGAAATTGGACAGCAGGCCCCGTCACATTCCTTGCACCAGAGCCCGTGCCAAACACGCTACGCCACTGGTTGCGGGAAGGGGTTGAAGAAAGGTAATTGGGCTTACCGCCCCTATTGATATGTGTGATATGGTAATTGAAGCTTTATGATTGAGTAATAGACTTATTTCGTGGCTTATCAGATGAATTTCTTGAATTAGTTCAGAAATACCAAACCTCATTCCGCTCTCTTTCCCACAGAGCCGTTGACGATCGGAGATCTATTGAAGATGGCCGGCGGAGGCGGATCGGACGGAGAGGCCCTGACCCCGTTGCGCACACCGAAGGCGGCGCCCAGGGCCACCCTTGGCAGCACGTCCTCGTCCTCGGGCTTCTCCTCGTGCAATCATTCCTCGCCGGACTCTATTTGGACGCCCTCCGCCCAGGTCTGTTTCATTTCGTGGCGGGACTTTTGAAATTTTTTTTTGCTTTGAGGAGCGTCTCGTACGTTTCGGTAGTGCCTTGGGAAAATGATTTTAATAAGTTCGAGATATTTTTTTTTTTAGGTCAGAAGCGTTATGGTTGAGTTTTCTTTTGGCTTATTCTTTTTCAGAGCGTGGGTCGATTCGGGTCAAGCACGAACGAGGTGTCACGTTCCCTGGCCCACCTCTTCGGCTCGGATTCGCCCCACGAGGGCCATGGCTTTCGAACGAATTCCTTCTCCTCTGGCTCCCATCTCAGGTTCGTGCAGGACGCAGAAGGCCTTCAGATATTTAAATATTTTTTACACGTCTTTTTTCCCCCCGTTTTATCTTTATTCGTTTTTTTTTTTTTTAGAATGAGCTGCCCTTGTTCTCTGAAGGGCAAAAAAAAAAACATACACATAACTCACTATTTAGTCGCATGACCGTGCGACATAGCGGAATTGCGTCGAATTCACAGCGCGAGCCGATGTCCCCGCGAGTGACTCGTTCGATCTGCCACAGTGACAGCGGATCGGGGAGCCCGCCGTACCTCCGCGGGCTGGGACCGGGCGGAGGCGGCGGGGGCGGAGGCTGCCTCGGGGGCATGATGGGGGAGCCGGGGGGAGGGGGCGGGAGGAGCACGAGCCCGGACAGCGGGCCCGGGAGCTTCTCGGGGTCCCGCGGGTCCTCGCCCATCAAGTCGCCCTCACGCGGGGATGGCATGCTGGCTGATCTCATGGTATGGCCTTTTTTTTTTTTTTTACATTTCCTCCTTGTGCTCTTTTTTTCAATTTTCATGAGTGAATTGTTAAGAGGTAGCACTGAAGTAGCGATCGAGTGAAGCGTTCGTCAGTTCGCTTTGCCGTGCTGGAGACCTTGTTTTTTTTTTTCTTGGCAAGCTATGCGTTGTATAAATTCCTTTCATGTCTATTCCTTGCCTGTGCCAAATCTGTTTCACCTAATTAATGAATGGGCCAGAAAGAGGCGAGGAACGGACGCGCATGTGCGAGTTAGATAGGACTCCTGATTTTTTAAATATGTAGATTGATCTCTTGTGAATTGGAAAAATAAGTCCCAGGAAAAAAGAAGAGGAATCGCATGATCATTGAATGCAATACATTCCCAAGTATGCGAATTAACAATTCTCTAATCGTTGGCAAAAATCTTGTGGGGAGAGGCATAAATGCAGTGTAGAAATCTCACGATTAATCATAAATTTCTTCTTGTCGCAGAATTCCCTGTCGCTGAACGGGTCGGGAAGCGCCAACGCCGGGGTGGCACCCCTGGGCGCGTCGGCCATCACGAACCACCTGCTTCCGGGGGGCCTGAGCGGGGGACAGGGGCTGGGGTCGTCCCCGACGGACCTGACGCCATTCCAGCTGGTGTCGCTGCAGAGGGGAGGGAACTCGCCGTCGCCGCTTTTTCCCCTGGGGGGGGCGCTGCTCCAGGGAGCGGACCCGAAGTCCTTGGAGATGGCTGCGAAGTTCCACCGTTGTGCTGCGAGTGAGTTTTGCGGGTCTGTCTTTGTGTGGAATTGCGGCGACTTTGTGCCGTGGCGGCGTTCTCTGATGAATGCGGGCGTTGGCCTCGTCTGGAGCGAACTGATTTTTTTTTTCTCCCTCCCCCGGAAGAGTTGTGAATTGCCCTGGGCGTGCAGGTGTTGAGATAAGGGGTGCAGGCACTCCCGAACAAACACACGCCTGCAGTCGAGCGATAATGAACTTGCCGATACAACCGCCGGCGACACTCGAACCTCGGGAACTCAGTAGGCTGGGATATCAGTGCGAATGCAAACGCGCAACCCTTTTATTATAAAAAGAAGACTCCATGTGGTGATGAGAGGGGAAGCTGAAAGACCTAGACTTTGACCGTGAAATAGAGCGACCTTCCACAATTTACGGTTCCTTGGGTCGAGAGATATTCCATTCCGTAGCGGAACGCATGAATGGGCCCTTGGTTCCCTGTAGTTCAAGACTTGTACACGAAGGTAGACCGTCTCCTCGTTCACGGCTCCTATCGAGAAAGTACGAGTCCTTATTGCAGCAAATGAGCAGTGAGAAAAAGAGCCATGAAGAGATCAAAGAGTACCAGTAGATAATGGAGACGAAAGTTACGATGAAACTTTTTTTTATTAACTTTAATTGCTTCCTAATGAGAGACTGGTCCCTTCTCCACCGATTCAAGTTTCTCGATGGCATATCCTTAATTTTTTTGGACGAGCTGAATCGAGGCAAAAAATAACTTTTAATCGAGCACTCTATTATATTGCGGTGTGGCCGCCCTGGATCCTCGGCGGGGACTCTGTTAATCCCATTTCCTAAGACCGACGGTTCTGTGACTTCTATCTTGAGTCGTCTGAGAAGGGGGTCGGTTGCGCTTCCTCTAGCTGAGCTGTACAACGCGACGTTCACGTGGTCCGGGGCGCTGCCGCCGAGGCTCCACAAGAATCCGGTGTATTCGCCCAAGGTGTTCCTCGGCGGGGTCCCGTGGGACATCACGGAGCAGAGCCTACTCAACGCCTTCAAGCTCTTCGGTCCCCTCAAAGTGGAATGGCCCGGCAAGGAGAAGTCCGTCAGTCCCTTGGGTCTCGAGGCGTGGGTGGTTCCCAGCATTCATGTCTTGTTTTCCGGCAGTGCTCCGTCGCAGCCGAAGGGGTACGTGTACATCCTGTTCGAATCGGACCAGCACGTGAAGGCGTTGCTGCAGGCTTGCACCCACGACTACAGCAGCGGGGGGAAGTATTATTACAAGATCTCGAGTCGGCGGCTTCGTTCCAAGGAGGTATGTGCCCTGGGATCGGAAACTTGAAAGTTAGGGCTTTTCTTACTGAATTCAATATTCATCGTGTTATTGGGCGGAATTACTTTATTGGATATACATTTTAAAAATTTACACCCCAGGTGCAGGTGATCCCGTGGGCCATCTCGGACTCGAACTTCGTCCGTTCCCCCTCGCCGCGGCTGGACCCGGCGAAGACGGTGTTCGTGGGGGCCCTGCACGGCATGCTGACGGCCGAGGCCCTGGCCATCATCATGAACGACCTCTTCAGTGGGGTCCTCTACGCCGGGATCGACACGGACAAGTACAAGTACCCGATCGGATCCGGGCGGGTCACGTTCAACAACCACAAGAGTTACATGCAGGCCGTCGCGGCCGCCTTCATCGAGATCAAGACTCCCTCCTTCACCAAGAAGGTAAAAAGGGGGGGAATTTTTTTCCGATTTGCATTTTATATTCGAGCGGCTTTCCTGCGAATCCGTGCAGTCTGGTGGGTGGGGTTCATTTAATACGAGCTATTTCTCCTTGGGATTATTTATTCAACGCAAGCTGTGCTTTCTTGAATATAAACCGACAATGAAGAAAAGGTTCATGCTGCTGAATAGTTGAAGCTTGAAGGAGAAACTTTATCACGGGACCACTAGGGATCCTTGGGAGTTGAACTTTGCTTTAATGAATGGACGGAAGGAGGATGTATCCCTTTCAGCACCTTGAGTTTTCGGAAATTTCAAAGAAACCCTTTTTCGACACGTGTCGAAAAGGGTTTCTTTGTGTCTCTGGGAACTGTACGAATACAAGTATGTACAATCGATGATTCAATTTAGTTTTTTCACTTATCATTTAAAAACTTGACTTTGACACTCATGCATGAGGAACATTCCAAACCTGAGCGTCTGGGTCAAGAGAAAAAACACTAACTACTACTGCTGAAGTAAGAGGTGGCAATTTGGGGCTTGAATCATAAGCCAAAGTTTCCCAACATTGATTTACACCAAGCCGATAATTTGAGATCCTGATTAATATCGATTTAAATTGCTTGGCCGAAAGTACCAGGCACATTAGGTGATGCATGAATAAATCAAATGTGTGCTTTTCCAGCTTTGAAGTGCTAATGAATAGGAAGTAATTGTGACCACGGCTCCTTGATTTCAATACGAAGCTGAAGTTCTGAGTTCTGGCGGGAAATGGTGCAAGGGTTCTCTTGATCTGACCGCCACAGGTGCAGGTGGACCCGTACTTGGAGGACTCCCTGTGCTCTGTGTGCGGGACGATGCAGGGGCCGTACTTCTGCAGGGACATCACGTGCTTCAAGTACTTCTGCCGCTCGTGCTGGCAGTGGCAGCACAGCCTGGAGTCGCTGCGGCACCACTTGCCGCTGATGAAGTCCACCAGGGGAACTTCGTCTGCCTCACCTCAGAGGCCCAAGTGAACGTCAATGGATACCCAGTGAACCCTCCCAGGTAAGTTTAGGTTCGTGATGGGGGTGGGGGGATGATGAAGTAGGAAGATCCGTGGGAATTAAGTCTTGTTGACAGGTCTTACCATTGAGGGGATCCGCGGATGGAATGGTGTTGTGTTTTAAAAATGGGGTTTTGTGCCTGAGTTGCACGGATACTGAGGATTGAAAATTTTCTTGCAGAATTTCGGACCAGTGGACCGTCGGGGAGAACCAGTGGATCGTTTTTTTGTATATATCAAAGTCATTTAGAGAGACAAGTCTTTATTTTATGCTTATATTGGGTTGTCCTCTGCTTTTTCTTCTCGACTTTGTTTTCCTTGTCTCTCGTCGTCTTACCTGTTTCCTCTGGATGAAACCGGGGCCTTTAGCTTAGTTCTTTATCATCCGTCAGAGAAGACTGTGTTTTTTTTTCTATCTGTCCGATTTCCATTTTTGGTCTTTGTAAGTACCGGAAGAAAGGCCTATTTTTTTTAAGTTCCGCAAGATCACAGGATCTCGTCGCAGCAAATCATTCATGTCACCCAGGATTTTCCTCTGCAGTTGCAACGTTGGCGAGATTTTTCAACATAGTTTTTATGATTTTGAGTCACTTTTTCATCCGAAACTGCCGAATTTCATGTCCCAAGCCAATCGGTTCCATCGTGCCCCATTTTCCTCTTATCGTCCCTGATTTACACTGGTGAGACTTTTTTTCCTCTGAAGAATGCTTTTGGAAGCCTGCATCTCCAGGGAAAGCCTTTTTAGGCTATTTATCCCCAGGTCCTGTGACTTGCTCTGTACATATATATTCGTGGAATGGGCGGTGATTTTTGGGATGTTTTGGGTCGTGGGTGAGGGGATTTATTTTTCTAAGAGGCTATGAGCATTCAGATATTTTCTCATTACGTTTTTGTTGTGTTAATAAAAATCTGAATTGTTCTCTCAGGTCTCTGCTTTCGATGTTACGTAACGCAAATAAACAGAGTATGCTATTCGCGTTTCGTCTGACCGACCAGTCGGAAGTGGATCGTGAAAAATGATCTGCATTATCTGGTCTCTCTACGGTACATCTCCTTCGGACGTGGCTCTAAGTGCTCGTCCGTCCCGACGGGATGAAAAATTGTGACATGGTTCCACGACTCCGCATCTTTCGGTGATCGATTGCCGGCCGAGATTGTGGCACGAAATGCGGAATGATCACTCGTCGTTTCGTTCGTAAAGCAGCTTATCCTCGGAGTTCATGATTGCTACATTCTCACTGCGAAAAGGTGTGACCGAGTCGGCATGTCTCAATTTTCCACTCGACATTCAATTTGTGAATTTTATCAACTCGCCTCGTTGATCATTTAGGTTCTGTTGATAAAGGTGGTTTTAGAAGATACTCCACCAGTAAGACTGATACTCTCACCTGCCAGTACTCCACAAATAGACTTGCGAGTTCTTTTGGTTAAAAGAAGAATCGTGTGCGATCGCGATGTGCACAACAAGGAATCAAAAAGCAGTGTCCCAAGCCAGGTGAAGTGGTTCTCATTCGTGTCGTAATACCTCTTTCAAATTTTCAGAAAATCGAGTACGCTGTGCCCACATGCACGTCCTCATCGGTAACGTTGCAACACTTGTCGAAGCAACTCAAGGTCGTACTATCGACATGCAGCTGCATGCAATGAAAATTTATTCCACAAGGGGTCACCGTCTTCCCAACCTTATCCATGGATATGACGTTTCAACGTGTACAGCATAAATTTGAAAATGTAAATTTGAACAAGAGCTCGAAGGTCTCTGATGTATACTCATTCTATTCTCGCCCATATTCAAGTATGTGCGAGTCATTTTCAGCTAAGACAGACAAATTGCCAAAGTTATGAATTTAGGGCTCACCTTAGTCTCCGTTCTAAATGGCGACGCGGAGGGATAGCCAATCACAGCCTGAACTCGAAAGCTGCGCAACAGTAATTACAAAATGTGAAGGCTTGCTGAACTTTAATTGTCTTGCATCTATTTCGGATTCGAACCTTGACCTTTAATCTAGTTCATAGATAAAAGGTTTCGTTGAAGAGGTATTGGAATGGAAATCCTATTGACTGCCAGGCCGAAGTCAGTGCAGAAATTCGGCCTGGTTCCTTATCACAGCATTGTCCAGGAGTTTGATTTCTTGAAGCGGTCGTCTCACGCTTTTCCGTAGTTTTGCTTGGGATCTTAAAAATTTCGCTTCTTGACGTGTATCAGGGTATGATACACGATGCATCACGTCCTGTTCCCTCGAACAGAATCTTTGAATGCCTCAATCGGGAATTTTGTTGACCGAACCAACCATCTCCGCTGCAGCAGAAATGCGTCTAAATACTTGAACTACTTCCGTTTCGAGTGCCTAGGCGATGAGAGCCGATAAGCCCCGAGAGTGAACACTTTGAAGCGGTGATCACATCCAGCAAGGAGCCATTCCTGTTAGCCCGTCATCACATCCAGCAAGGAGCCATTCCTGAGCCCGTCATGAAACCAAGCAGGTAGTCTCTTGGGGCAAGAACATTTATCGCTCTGCGCCGCATCTTATCAAACCCATTCCGGCCTATAATTCCAGTCAGCACCTGGCTGCAATGGGAACCTGGAAATAATGGGAGCCTGGAGGTAATGAGAATCTGGATGTAATAGGAGCCTGGATGTAATGAGAAACTGAATGTAATGAGAACCTAGCTGTAATGGCTCTGTTATCAGATACATTCCTCGTATTTTCCGGCGAAACATGTGAGAATGTGTTCTCGATGGTTGTCGTCGCCTTTCGGAGCAGGTTCTTCAATATGTCTCTTTAGTCGTGCTAATTTTGGAGTGAGGAGTGTTCTCGATTCCGGTTCTCGGAATACCGGGCCAATGAGATCCAAGGGAGGATGCTGGGCCAATAAGATCCACGGGTCAATCGGATCCAAGAGAGGATACCGGACCAATGAAAGCGGTTTCCCCAAGAGATAGGTAGAGAGGGGGAAGAGGAGAGAGAGAGGAGACCCTTACGAAAAATCCCCCCTGTAGTCCACCGGGGGATTATCCAAATCCTCCGAGGAATCCGCATGTAGACTAAGGAATAACCATGTGGAATAGTGTGGACTTAATGGCCCGTATGCTAAGAACCTATCACATGATAGCCTATTACATGGTGGCTATCATGATAGGTATCAGGCGATAGGTCTATTATTTGCTCAGTTCCGTATGCAAGAACAAATTATAGGTATCCATCGTGAGGCCTATTATGATAGGTATCTTTATACTTATCATGATAGGTATTCGTGAATCTTCCTGATGAAAACCTCGTATCCATCGTCCCCCGCCCAGGAACATTGCCATGTGTATCTTCTCACATGACTGACCAGAGTGTTGTGTGATGATTTAACTGTATTAATCTGACCCCGTTTACCGGACTAGTGCTTGAATTCCGACTGCCGTGGCTTGATACAAATAATTCTACGGGATTTAATCTATCTCAGAGTAACTGCGCTCAGCACAAGTTGCGACGGTTCACATAATTAATTGGGTTAATAAAACGCACAGCAATCCACCCAGGTAGCTCGTTAAAAGCAGAATAAACAAGCTCTGGATCATAATAGATTGAAGCGATTCTTATATTAATACTGTGACGGTCTTGGCGGCCTATCTCGTCAGGTACCCGCCCGGAGTACTGAATCCGGAGTCGTGCGGGGTACTGGCGGGGGGTACTGGTGCGGGGTACTGGACTGGCGAGGTCCGTCCTCCAGTCCGCGGACCGGATGCCGACACTTGTGGTAGCTGTGGCCGTAAAGGAGGCCTTGGGGGCGAACCCGACGAAAACTCAGGAGCGCGGATGCAACCAAACTTTACTGTGAAACACTGGGTTCAGCAACACAACTTATTTTCTCTACCAGACCAATCGGGGCAATCCGGCCCGTCGCACAGCAAATGAATGTAACAGCCAAGAAAGCTTAGTACACATGAACCGAATGTCGACCGCGATTGCCAGACGCGTACTGGGACACAGGGGACAGGGACAATACCCGAGCCGGGCAAGTTTACCGTCTGGACGGTGATTCGGCACGAGGACGTAGAGGGTACGGAACCTCGTTGCCTCGGTTTGCGAATGCGATCCTGAGCTCTCCACAGCTCCCAGAAACAAGGTCCTGCTCGGGTAGTCATGCCCGCTCGGCTCAACCTCCCTAGGGGGTGTACACTATTCCCTCGCTCTTAACTTCTAATCAACTTCTTTCAGGATACCGGTGGAAACATTCTTGACTCCAGACATAAGGGTGGTACACGGGGACCCATCCTTCCCTCCACACATTAGATATTTAGACATAATAAGTCACCGATTTAAGTGGTGGTAGCGGCACCAGAGGCGCCATTTCACGTCAATCCGAGAAAATACACTCATTCGGGACTCTGGACTATGGATTAAAGCAAAAAAAAAGTACATTATATACAACATCGTGACAATACTTATTATGATACCCTATCATGATAGGTATAACATGTTTCTGCATACGGCCAACCTATCAAACTTATCATGTGATATCCCCCCAAAAATAGCTATTTTATCGGTTTTATACGTTCTTGCATACCAGCCATAGTCGGGAATGTCGGGAATCCATGAGTTCTGTCAGCACTTGAACATTCTATGCGGTAGCCGCTCTCTCTCCATTCTCGAGAGCGAATCCAGCAGTCGCGAAGGCTCGAAAGAAACTGCTCGCTCTCGAGCGAGACGGAGACACAACCTATGGAAGACATTCACGAATTCTGGGTTGGTCTAGGCTAAGCGTGTAGCATATTCGGATAGTCACGAGTTCAGTCAGCGGACCCATTAACACTCTGCGCAGCAGCCACCGACATTATACGTCTTGCGCATCCCCCTTCCTCTCATTCACGGGGTTTTCACGCCTACGATACGGACGTTTATCGAGCGGCACTCTCATCCCTCGTCGATCTCGACGATGTGCGTATCGTCGGTGAAGTCCATCTCCACCACTTTTCATGTAGGCATATGAGTGAAATACACGCTAGAGAAACGGGATGGTTTTAACGCGGCCGACGGCATCTTTCCGATCCGGGAGTTTCTGTTCCATACAAGTGGGATCCAGCCGTTTTCACCTTCGGGAGTCACTCTCCTTGTGAGAATGCCGATCGATAAAAGGATCTGATTGATAAAGGGTTCGAGATGCCGATAAATCTACGATCTGATGATGAAATGATGAGATCTCATCCCGGCGAGGAAGTCATCCTTCCATAGGGGATGATAGGGGACAACAAGTGCATTACGCGGGGACGTTTTACACGTCCCTGCTGAGAAGTCCGTATCGGGTTCCCGTGTCTGTATCGGGGTGTGATGATCATAGACGATCATAGACGATCGTGACTGACTGACGCTAATTCTAACCATGTTCAAGAGAAGTTAGAAATCTGAAACTTGGTACACATGTACCTTTTGTGATGCAGAGTTCGGAAAAAATCCGACTCTGGAGGTACATGCCCTGGGGGTACACATTTTGGGTGGAGAAGTTTTCATAGATATGTATTGTGACTGATTAGGATGCCATCAAGAGGGTTGACTTGATGACATCAAGAGGGTTGACTTGATGACATCAAGAGGGTTGACTTGATGACATCAAGAGGGTTGACTTGATGACATCAAGAGGGTTGACTTGATGACATCAAGAGGGTTGACTTGATGACATCAAGAGGGTTGACTTGATGACATCAAGAGGGTTGACTTGATGACATCAAGAGGGTTGACTTGATGACATCAAGAGGGTTGACTTGATGTCCTGGGTTCGGTAGTGTAGTGGTAGCACACCTGACTGGCAATCAGGAGGCTCTGGTTCAATTCCTGCCCATTCCTTCGCTTTCGGCATCTTATACAATCCAAGACGCGTAACTCATTCCCCCTCCGCAACGTTAATTTTGCTTTTGTAAAATTTTAGATGGAT